GCTGTCATGTCCCACTAGACCTTTTTTTTTCATTAGACTAGACACACCCAAATCCTGTAATCATTCTTCAAATGTTTTAGCCTCAAACAAGATGGTTATTATAGGAGTCTATCTTCCCACTTGTCCAATTAGTTGTATTTTAATCAATAAGGGTTGAATCTTGAATCTTATTTGTTATTCCCTTTGAGTGAACAATCTGCAAAGAGGCCTCTGAGAACATAATGTCAGTTATCTGACCATTTCAGAAAACTGCATGTTCTGACTTAGGCTTCCTGATACAGTTTAGTCCCCCAAGCCCCCAAACTCCCAGGTGGCCCTGGTCTCCTCTCTGCCTCGGATGCAGAGCCCTCATCTGAGCCGTCCCCAGACTCCAGGACTGGCCCATGTTCCTCCCCAACCTCCTCACTGTCTGACTCTGCTGCCAGCTTCGCAGGCCATCGGTGCACCACAACACTGCATGATAGAATCATCCATATGAAAATATAATTATGTACTCTTTTTCCTTTTCCTACCCAATGGCCCTTTTGGGAAGCTGTTAATTCTCTATAAATAAACCAGTGGTGGGTTGCTAATTTCTTTATTACTGGTTCAGGTGTGTGTGCACAGAAGCATCCGTGTTTGTGGGCAGAGCCTCCCACCACCACTACTACTGGTTCACCCAATCCAGGGCGAACCAGCAGCAACCCATCTCTGAAATAAACTATCTTTAACCTAATATTTATTATAAATTTATTTATTTGTATCCCATCTTTATTATTTTTACAAATAACTAAAAGCGGTGAATATATCCAGCATACCTTCCTCCTCGTTTTCATATCAATTTTGTAAGTAGCATTGCTTTTTACATAATTAAATATAGGACAAACTTCTAAACATTTCTTATAAAGGCCTATCCAAATGTGGATGCAGATCTTTTCCATTTTTCAAAGAATGTGAATGTGATTGTATAGCACTTTATTTCTATCCATAGGAGATGTGATCTTTATATCAAGAATGGATTGATAGTGAAACCAATCAACCAGGAGAACATTCAGTCAATATCTTTAAGCAGAAGCTGTCAAAACATGTCACAGATTTTGTAGCTCTGAATTTCCTGTGTTGAGTTATCCCCAACAGTCTTCAATATTTCCTCCAGCATTATGATTCCATTACAATTGGACAACTTAGTGCAAATAAATTTCAGAAAGTCAAATCCATTAATGATAAACTTGACATTTATTAGATGGTATGCTGATATATTATAGACAGTGCAGAAAGTGAACTTTCTCTAAGGTTTTAAAAGAACTCTAAGAGGCCTCCTGCCAATTACCTCCCTACGACCTATTAGATCACACAGATTAGGCCTCCTCCGAGTTCCATCTGCCAGTCAGT